CACACACTTCCAGCCCCTCTCCCTGTTCCCCAACTTCTCTCCCCCCCCCCAGCCACTTACCAGTTCTTTCTTCTTCTGGTTCTTCTTCTGAGAACTTTTCGGCAGCATGGTGAGGATGGGTGGGGCGAGTGAAAGAGCAAACGAGGGGAGGGCCGTACCGGGCCGTACCGGTTGAAACCCACCCCTGCATTATACATATACCCACATACATGCACACGTATAACACAGAGAAACCCCACGGTCTTCATTCCAATGTATACATAAACAGGGCAAAAAGCAAAAGATTCCTGCCAGCTTACGCATGGTGTAAGGATCCGAAGCCATTCACCTGTTACTTGAAGAGGACTAGCCCCTTGACCTCTGTCTCAACTTTTGTAGTGTTCTTTCCAACCACTCAAGCAAAAAAAAAAAAAAGTCCATCGATCTCATCTGTCCACCCATTTTTCCTCCCGAAACTTTCAAAATTTCATATTTGTATGTAATCTATATAAAGTATATCAGTGATGGTGAACCTTTTTTTGGCTCGTGTGCCAAAAGTGGGGGGAGTGCAGGGGGTTGTGCACGGGCTTGCCACACCCATAATGCAATGCGTGACCCCAGCAGCCATGCGTGCATGACCAGCGCTACCCCCATTTTTGGCATGCTTTTTTCTCCTATAAAGCCTCTGGAGCCTGGGGAGGGCGAAAACAGGCTCCCCCACCGAGGCCCTCCAGAGGCTTCAGAATCTTCCCTGAAGCCTCCGGAGCGCAAAAACCCGACCCTAAGGGGAAACTGGAACTTCAGGAACGGACTTCCAGTTTGCTCGTAGGGCTGGTTTTAGCCATCTGGAGTCTTCAGGGGCCTTCTGGAGGCTCCACTCCTGAAGCTCCTGAAGCCTCCGGAGGGCCTCGGGGGGGCGGGGGGAGGCTGTTTTCTCCCTCCCCAGGCTCCTATAAAGCCTCTGGAGCCTGGGGAGGGCGAAAAATGGCCTCAAAAAAAGGCTGAAGTCAGCTGGCCAGCACGCCCATGCCTCGTGTGCCCTGACAAATGGCTCCGCATGCCACCTGTGGCACACGTGGCATAGGTTCGCCATCCCGGCAGTATATAAAAGCTAAATGCCACTCACACAGCATCACAAAATCTCCAGAACCGTAAAGCCTACAAACTTGAAATTTGGCACATATGTTCCTCTTGACTTCTAGGTGCTCACTAAGAAAGGAGTTTTTGAAATGACCACCAGATCATTATTATTTCTTATATTATTATTAACACGCTGTGATGCTAAGGAGTTACTCCCTCTCCCAACCTGAAAAGAACTCTGTTCCAACTGCCACTTGGGCGTGGCCAAGCACCTGACTCATCCAGCCTGTGGGCTGGGTGTTTGGAGACGAGTTTGAGGGCGAGAAGGGGAGAGGAGAGGCTTCTGTGGAGAGGCCAGTCGTAACTACTCATTAATTTTCAAGCTGTAAGTGTCGATTTATCAAGCCCGATCACATAGTTTCATAGCGGAGCGCAGGTATTCAGCTAGTAATTTATATTTTTATGTAATAGATTGTTTTTATACAATAATTAATATTGTTATAAAATTAAATTTTTAATATTTTTATATAGTAATTTATACTTTTTAGAAAATAATTCAAATTTTTGTACAGGCAACCCTCTGCATTTACACTTCGAGGCCTTGCTCCGAGAAGACCATTGGCGGACCCCCAAACCCNGGTCGTTGAGTGAATTGGGCTTTCCCCATGGACTTCACTCGTCAGAAGGTCGTGGAAGGGGATCGTGAGACCCTGGGGACCCTGTGACCATCATAAATATGACTCACTTGCCAATGGAATGGAATGGAATATAGCAGTGATGGCGAACATTTTTCTGCTCGGGTGCCAAAAGGTCACGCATGCGTGCCCACACCCATAATGCAATGTCCTTAGAAAGCCTCCTGAAGCCTTGGGAGGGCAAAAAACGGGCCTACTGAAAGTTCATTTCTAAACTTCCGGTAGGCCCGTTGAGCCCATTTTTCACCATCCACAGGCTTCAGAGGCTTTCCTGAAGCCTGGGGAGGGTGAAAACAGCTTCCCCTGCCCTCTGGAAGGCCGAAAATTAGCTGGCCAGGACGCTCATGCGCGCTGGAGCTAACATACCGGAACCCCTCAGATATGGCTCCCTGTGCCACCTGTGGCACGCATGCGATAGGTTCACCATCACGGTCCTATATCCTATCCTATTTTCTATTCTATTCTGTTCTGTATTCTATATTCTCGTCTACTCTTTTGTATTGCGTTCCATTCTGCGTTGTATTCCATTCCATTCTATATTCCTGTGATGGCGAACCTATGACACGTGAAGCCATATCTGAGGGCATGGGAGGTGTTGTCCCATATCAGCTCCAGCGCTGGCCAGCTAATTTTCAGCCTTCCAGAGGGAGCGGGGAGGCCGTTTTCACCCTCCCCAGGCTTCAGGAAAGCCTCCGGAGCCTGTGGATGGTGAAAAATGGGGCCAACGGGCCTAATGGAAGTTCGGAAGCAAACTTCCAGTATGCCTGTTGTGCCATTTTCTGCCCTCCCCAGGCTTCAGGAGGATTTCCTGAAGCCTTGGCAGGGCGAAAAACGGCACAATGGGCCTACTGGAAGTCCGGAGCCTTCAGTGAGGCCTGCGCGCATGTGCAGGGGGGAGCGTGGGGGTTGTGCGAGCATGCGCCGGGAGGAGGGCATTGCATTATGGGTGTGGGCACACACGTGCGCCCTTTTGGCACCCAAGCTGAAAAACGTTCGCCATCACTGATATAGAATAGAATGCAGAATGGAATAGAAATAATTTAGAATAGAATAGAAACTTTACTGTTACTTTAAATGTACACTAATCAGCATACATTAAAATATTTCCTTTTATTCAGCCCTCCAAAGAGAACCATTATACCAGTGGTGGGTTTCAAAATCTTTTAGGACCTATTCTGTAGGTGTGGCCTGTTTTCTGGGAGTGGCTTGGTGACCATGTGACCGGGTGGGAGTAGCTTGGCAGTCATGTGACTGGGTGGGAGTGGCCAAGTTGATGTCACTGAATTCTTTGCCCCAAAGAATGACCTACAAAAAGATATAAAAAAAGGAAATTTATTATTTTGTGCACTTACTACTTAAATAAAAATAACATAAGTACACAAAACAATAAAACAGCTACTTACAGAGGAAATATGGCTGTCCTTACCAGTCTTCAACATTACTGACCACATTACACACACACTTCCAGCCCCTCTGCCTCTTCCCTCTTCCTGGATTCACTCAGACATTTTTAAAACCCACAGCCTGTGCACACGCACACACTTCCAGCCCCTCTCCCTGTTCCCCAACTTCTCTCCCCCCCCCCAGCCACTTACCAGTTCTTTCTTCTTCTGGTTCTTCTTCTGAGAACTTTTCGGCAGCATGGTGAGGATGGGTGGGGCGAGTGAAAGAGCAAACGAGGGGAGGGCCGTACCGGGCCGTACCGGTTGAAACCCACCCCTGCATTATACATATACCCACATACATGCACACGTATAACACAGAGAAACCCCACGGTCTTCATTCCAATGTATACATAAACAGGGCAAAAAGCAAAAGATTCCTGCCAGCTTACGCATGGTGTAAGGATCCGAAGCCATTCACCTGTTACTTGAAGAGGACTAGCCCCTTGACCTCTGTCTCAACTTTTGTAGTGTTCTTTCCAACCACTCAAGCAAAAAAAAAAAAAAGTCCATCGATCTCATCTGTCCACCCATTTTTCCTCCCGAAACTTTCAAAATTTCATATTTGTATGTAATCTATATAAAGTATATCAGTGATGGTGAACCTTTTTTTGGCTCGTGTGCCAAAAGTGGGGGGAGTGCAGGGGGTTGTGCACGGGCTTGCCACACCCATAATGCAATGCGTGACCCCAGCAGCCATGCGTGCATGACCAGCGCTACCCCCATTTTTGGCATGCTTTTTTCTCCTATAAAGCCTCTGGAGCCTGGGGAGGGCGAAAACAGGCTCCCCCACCGAGGCCCTCCAGAGGCTTCAGAATCTTCCCTGAAGCCTCCGGAGCGCAAAAACCCGACCCTAAGGGGAAACTGGAACTTCAGGAACGGACTTCCAGTTTGCTCGTAGGGCTGGTTTTAGCCATCTGGAGTCTTCAGGGGCCTTCTGGAGGCTCCACTCCTGAAGCTCCTGAAGCCTCCGGAGGGCCTCGGGGGGGCGGGGGGAGGCTGTTTTCTCCCTCCCCAGGCTCCTATAAAGCCTCTGGAGCCTGGGGAGGGCGAAAAATGGCCTCAAAAAAAGGCTGAAGTCAGCTGGCCAGCACGCCCATGCCTCGTGTGCCCTGACAAATGGCTCCGCATGCCACCTGTGGCACACGTGGCATAGGTTCGCCATCCCGGCAGTATATAAAAGCTAAATGCCACTCACACAGCATCACAAAATCTCCAGAACCGTAAAGCCTACAAACTTGAAATTTGGCACATATGTTCCTCTTGACTTCTAGGTGCTCACTAAGAAAGGAGTTTTTGAAATGACCACCAGATCATTATTATTTCTTATATTATTATTAACACGCTGTGATGCTAAGGAGTTACTCCCTCTCCCAACCTGAAAAGAACTCTGTTCCAACTGCCACTTGGGCGTGGCCAAGCACCTGACTCATCCAGCCTGTGGGCTGGGTGTTTGGAGACGAGTTTGAGGGCGAGAAGGGGAGAGGAGAGGCTTCTGTGGAGAGGCCAGTCGTAACTACTCATTAATTTTCAAGCTGTAAGTGTCGATTTATCAAGCCCGATCACATAGTTTCATAGCGGAGCGCAGGTATTCAGCTAGTAATTTATATTTTTATGTAATAGATTGTTTTTATACAATAATTAATATTGTTATAAAATTAAATTTTTAATATTTTTATATAGTAATTTATACTTTTTAGAAAATAATTCAAATTTTTGTACAGGCAACCCTCTGCATTTACACTTCGAGGCCTTGCTCCGAGAAGACCATTGGCGGACCCCCAAACCCAACTTTCAGAAGCCACCCCATGCCAGCTTGAAAGACTTAACTAACAATGTCGGCTCCCCATTTCTTTCCCCTCCTGGTAAAGTAGCCACATGGGGGTTTTGTTTTTGTTTTTTTTGTTTCTGGCACCATGTCCCATCTCCCTGATCGGCCTTGTAGTTCGAAAGAGGGATCGGAACCGGTTGCCAAGCATCTGAATTTCGATCACAGGATCGTCGTCGCTTGCTTTGGAATACGGGGCAGTCCTCGATGTACAACCGTCGACATTTCAGCTGCTTAGGAAGACGTTCATTAAATAAATTTTGAATGTGTGACGAACGTTCTTGCCCCATCGTTAAGTGAATCCTGGCCGTTGTTCAGTGAGTAACGTGGTTGTTAGGTGAATCCAACATTTCAGATGTTAAGGGAGGCGTTCATTAAATTTTGCACATGTGATGAATGTTCTCGCCCCTGTCATTAAGTGAATCCTGGCTGTGGTTCAGTGAGTAACATGGTCATTAAGTGAATCTGGCTTTCCCCTTGACAGGAGCCCCCAATTTCCTCTGGCTGGGGGAGACTTTGTTTAAAAAAAAAGTTGCCCGTTTTACGACCTGTACGGCCCTACCATCGTGAAGTGAATAGCTGCAGTGGTTAAGTTAGTCAGATGGTCGTTAAGCGAATCCAGTTTCCCCATTAACTTTTCTTTGCTGGAAGGTGGCGAAAGCGGAATCGTGTGACCCCCGTCATAAATACCAGTCAGTTGCTGAGTGTCTGAATTTTGATCACCCAATCGTAAAGGGCGTAACTCTGAAAAACAGTCCTAAGTCCCTTGTTTCAAGGCTGACGTAACATTGAACGATCACTAAACAAACTGTTGTAAGTCGAGGACTCCCTTTAATGGGAGGGCAATGAAGAAGGCGGACATCTTTCCATGGAACGATCGGAAAATATTTTATTGGGACCAGAAAACCTGGATTGGTTGTTGGCAGAGAACGGGGTCAATGGTGGGAATCGTCTTGACTTACGATGCATTTCACTGATGCATCTTCTATCCCTTCCCTTTTTTCCAGGCGCTCTGTTGAAAGGATTGGCCGGCTTCAGTCTCTGCACCCCGCGTCCTGCTCCCAACAAACTGGGCACTTTGCTCCAGGGGCGGCCTCTGTGCCCTCCTGTTCCGCACGCCAATCACGTGCCCCCTCATCCCGCGATGGCCAGCAGCAGCAGCAGCTTGGTGTTGGTGAGTGAGCCAGAAGGAGTTCTGGCCATGTAGAAAAGGACAGTGTAGCCCACTCCTTTCTAGAACTGATGACGTTCCCTAGTTGGGTTGTGAAACGTCTGCAAGGAAACACTGGCAGGGAGGACTGAGAATCCCATAGCCATTCTCTTCCTCTTCTTCCTCTTCCTCCCCCTCCTCCATAATCCCCTCTCCCTTCTAGCTCTGATGATATTCCCTAGTTGGGTTGTGAAATGTCTGCAAGAAAGCACTTGCAGGGAGTATCAAGAACCCCATAGTCATTCTCCTCCTCCTTGCCTTCCTCTTCTTCTCCTTTTCCCCATCTATTGTCTCCTTGTCTTCTTCATCCTCCTCTCCTCCTCTTCACCATCTCATCCCTTCTTCCTTGTCCTCTTCTTTGCCTTCTCCTTCTCATCTTTTGTCGTCTCTTCTTGCTCCTTCTCCACCCTTCTATTACTGATGACATTCCCTAGTTGGGTTCTGAAATGTCTGCAAGGAAACAACCAAGCTCAGAGAGCACCAAGGACCCCACAGTCCTCTTCTCCAATGTTGGTGGAGATAGCAGCCAGGCTGGGCTTACTCCGTCCATTATCCAATTGGACTGGGTCTACAATTTGTGATGTCATCTTGCACTGGTGACTCCTCCCAGCTTCAGACTCAGTCTATTCAGGACTGGACGTGAGAATTGCTCTCTCCCTGGTAAATTTCAGATATATTAATTCCAATTGGCTTTTTTCTAAAAAGATTTTCTTAAATGTAAGTCTCCCTGTTCTGTTGTAAATTAGTCTGAATAGGGAGACAGCTAATTTAAAGTGTCAGGCCTCTGGTCCGGCCAGATTGTTGAGGCGGTGAGGAGGGCGACCGCGCTCACGAGTTAGTTCTGAAGTGCTGCCCGTCGAACTCCTCACATCAGCCAGACCACTGGGCTCATGAGCACTCGCTCCGGGGCTTCGATCAGTGGTTTCAGCGCTCCACTGCCCCACGCTGTGTTCCTGGAGGCAGGGAGGCAGGGCTCCTGGAGGAGCCTGATGTTCCTAGAGGTGTGAAAGCGCGGCGGCAGCTATTTTTAGCCTTGGAGCAGCCGGCAGGCTCCCAAATGGCATGAATTTGTGGAGGCGGCCATTTTGAGTGCCCGGGGAAGCTGTCAATCAACAGCAAACGGCACGAAAGTGTGGCAGTGGCCATTTTGGATGCCAACAACTTCTGCCGATCAGAACAGCGAATGCCGAGTTGGTGAGGCTGTTTAGATTAGCCTGCAGGGGAGGGATTCCCCCTTTTGCTGGCCTGCTCCCCTTCAGCTCTGCTCCCTTCTGGCCTCCTTGGACCCGGTTTGGCCCCATTCCCACAGCTCCTATGGCCACTAATGGAGAAGGAGCCTCAGCTCCCTTCATGGAACCCATCCCTGCTAGGGATCTAGCAGAGGCCGGACCGTCAGGCATTCGGCCCAGCTGCAAAAGAGTGGCTGAAGAGTCTGCAGAAAAGGGACAGGCGGCCAAGACCAGCAAGGCTTCCACCAGAGCTGAGGAGCGCAGGCAGAGGGCATTAGAAAAAGAATTTGAAAGGACTCAGAGGCATGCAGCTCCAGTCATATCCCCTACTCCTGCAGGGCAAGATCACCCTAGCCCTTCTGCTCCACCTGTCTTACAGCTAGAGATGGCCTCCCCATCCTTGGCTGAACTGTCACCTGACTTGGATGAGGATTTATCTTCCTCATCCTCCCCCCAGCAGCCTGCCATGGGTGGGGATTTCTTTGATGGCCCTCTTAATAGGGAGAGAACCTTTGAGCACAGCAGCCTTGACCAGGCTGGGCCATCCCCCTGTACTTCGGGGCCCTCCATGCCTCAGGCCTCACTGCACCTTCATGCCTCAGGCCTCACTGCACCTTCTGCAGACATGTCATCTATAATCTCCGAGGCCATCAAACAGAATAGCAGCCGGCCTACAGCAAAAAACTTCATCCAGATCCTCCAGCAGGCATAGGCACAGATTCTGTAGAGGATCGAGGGGCCCGGGCCCGTCATCCACAGCCAACCAGGCATCCTTATTTGGGGAACAAGAGCCTCTTAGAGACTCAGATTTATCAGACAATGAAGGCCTAGTCCCAGACATTCCGGCCTCTGCCGGCCTCTTTAAGCCTGATCTCTTTAAATCACTACTTCTCAAGGCTAAGAAGGCTGCAGACCTGGAGACCGCTCCCCTGGCTCAGACCACGACTACCAAGGATCCGTCCAATTCTTTCTTCTCAGAACCAATTGTTGAGAAGGAGGTTGTACCATCTCTCAAACTATTCCTGGACGTTGTCCAGTGACAGTGGGCGTCCCCACTTTGCCTTCTACCTTGGACAAGCATCTTTATAACATAGGTCCCGGCCTTTCTAAACTTCTAGATGCTCCCTCAGTGGATGCTCCTGTAGCTGCCCTCTTGTCCCCTACGGTCAGGGGTAGGTTCCTGCCGGTTCTAACTGGTTCGCTAGAAGAGGTTGTACAAATCTAGCGTGCCATTTAAAACTGGTTCCACCGGTGGAACCGGCCCTGCCCCCTCTCTCGCTCACCCCCGCCCGTCCGGAGGCTGTTCGCTCACTCACTCCTCCCCCTCCGGAAGCTGCTGGATCACTTGCTCCCCCCGCCCGTCTGCACTATGCTAGCCCCGCCCACTGCTCACTGATTGGCTGGCTCACAAATCGCCCCGCCCATCTCTAAGAGCCCTATCTAAAACCACTTACCTTTTTTCGTGCTTGGCTCTCTATTGCTGCCTGCCGTCTCTGCGGAGGTAAGTAAGCTGCAACTAAGCGTGGGG